TCTGATGATATGATAGATTAAAAATATAGGTTAAAACTCTTAGGGATATAATAAATATTATAGAATATTTTTTTGAGGTTGAAACTCATGTTTAAGAATTTTTGAGTTAAAATCTAGATCTATATGGTTGAATTTATGTGGAATCTGAGATGTAGGGATAAACCTATGATTATTAAATATTTATTTAAGTATGAATAGGTATTTTTGAGGTTATAGAAAGGTGATTTGAGGCTTCAGGATAATTCTAAAATTTTTAATTTATTTTGGATGAATTTTTAGAATATAGAAGGATGAAATTGTGATACGAGAAGTGATTTAAGGATTAAAAAAATAGTTTATTAGGGTACGAGAATTTTAGAAAAAGAATTTGGGAAGTTAAATGAGGCATAAATCTTAAATTAGTATTAATATGGATTATAGATCTAAGACTTTCTAATTCTTTAAATTAGAGTTATTTATTTTAATGTAAAATTAATATATAGTATTGTGAAATAATTATGTAGATTATATTGACAAAGATAGTGGTGAAAAAGGAGTTGTGAAGGGGAACTTGTTATTCAAAACACAAGGTAACTATTATTAATGTGTTGTGATGAGTGTGTTTGTGAATGGTTATGTGTTGACTTGTTGTTTGGAAAAACTATGAATTATTGAAAATAAATACTGTTATATACTTGTTTGAAATTATTGCTAAGTGGGTTAAAAATTATTTTTATTTATCATGATGAGATATTATTATTCGTATATATTCCTGTTTGGATATTTGAATGATGCATGACTTGTCAGGGTATTTTAATGTATGGTGTTAATGGGAATTTCTGTTCGATTAATTATTATCACGTGGTAAGCCCTCATTGGACCCAATGAGTGGCATGTCGCTTGGTCCAACTCACCTTTGGCCGGGTGATTTGGCGTCCGAGCATGGCGAAAGGAGGATATAAGGTGTAGTCATGCAAATTAAATACTTGTTCGGTTTGTTTGAAAATATTGTTCGGTTAAATGCTTTGTGTGCCCACTTAGCAATCGCATGATTAGTTACAATCGCATGCATCATTACATATTAATTTTTGGTTACTGGGACTTTAAGTCTCATTTCCCGTGGTTAATATTTTTACAGGATCGAGTCCGACTGAGAAAGTACCAAAGGTGTAACTATGGTGTATGAGACACCATTTTTTACGTTGCCTCTTATTTTAGATTATACAATATATCTTGTGCCAACTTAGGACATATCTTCTTTGTGAAGCATGTAAACTCTAATCCTTTTTATTAAAAGTATTTATATGACCAAGAGGATTATGTCTGTCCCTCTTGATTTATGATCTGATTTGAATATCATGCCATGAGGATTATGTCTGTCCCTCATGGTTTTAATTGCCTTTTTGGATATTTTAAGACTTGCGTTATGTCTTGGATGTATCATGGTAAGAAAATTTTCTACCATGATAATGGTTTTAATAATTTGCGAAAAATCGGTCTGTAAGTTTTGAGGGTGTTACATTTTGAAAGTTGGTATTATAGGGAATAAACCTTTAACCTCTCAAAAGTTTGAAGTAATTAGGAGAAATCTAGTTTATATAGTTGAATGTTAATTAATTTTTGTGTAAAGCATGGTTGATATTTTTAACTATTGATGCAATGTTTTGCAAAATGATGAACTTGTGAATTTGTGGTATGATTTTGAAAACAGAAACCTTAGGCAAGTCATCTCTTTGTAATCAAATATTTGATAAATGGCTAATCACTATGAAGTTGATAAAATATAGTATTGGTATGCCAAGTGAGTTGAGTATGTGATTATATGTGAATCCATGTTAAGAGATTGATGATTGAATTACATGAATATGTGGTATATATGCATCGTATGATCATTGGTGAGAGTTCGTCTAGGAAGAAGAGTAGATGGTTAAATCCATATAGTAATGATAGTAGTAGTGACCATTGGAATCGAGAACTTGTCTTGGCACTAACCATTGGAATCTGGTTGGTTCGAGATTATCCCACTTGTTCTATGAGGGACTTGAACCTAACTAGTTTTTATTAGTTGATAAGGAGGTTAGATTAGGAGTACGACATCCCATGGTTGTTAGTATTGGGGAAAATCAAATTACACAAGTGAGTGAGTTGATTCTAACCCAGTAGCTCATCACAAATAGAAGGTTAGGTTAGTTCATGAAGGACGTAGACACGTGATAGCCACTGATTTTGTGTTGGAGGTAATAACAGAGTATAAGGTTAGCATTTGATTATGCATTTAGATCTAACTACATGATTGCTATTATTGTGGCTCGGTGCTTGGTTGGTATTATTGTGACCCCATGTTATGCATTGTCATTATGTGGTTATATGTACATTAGACCCGATCACATGGTTGTTAGTATTGTGAACTGTGGTCATATTCATCATATATGCTATATTGTGTAATTTTGCCTATTTGTATTAGTTTTTAATTGATATGCAACTGTATAGATTATGTGAAACTTGATTACTGAGTAGTTGTACTCACCCCTTAATTCTCAAATATTTTCAGGACCTAGTTCATTGAATCCAGTTCGAGGAAAGCATATTGAGGCATAAGATTTTGGTTAAAATTCTACTTTCATGCCTCTCTACTCTGCTTATGTGTACTTTTATTGTAAAATTGCCATCTAGGTCATATGTCATCATTTTAAGCTACTTGCATTAGTTTTATGTCTCACTGGTGTATTTTGTGACCTGGGTTAGAGTTTTGATTGTAAACCCTTAGATAGGGACAAAATACTTGTGCAAGTAAAAACATGTATAATTTGACTAATTTGCAATGAAAATGAATAATTTGTGTAAAGTTTTACTCCCCCTTGTATGTTAAGAAATTTGGGGTTGAGTGGTAAAATTGAGGTTTATGTATTTTGATTGAATATGGTATGTTACACGAGTTTACTATAGTCCATTGAGTGTGGTCAGATGGTTAGTGTAGGCTTTTGATAATTGTGATTGAGTTGAGACACCATTGTTATGAGTTTTATGTGAAAAAGTGATAAAATAGGTTTTGGTGTCCAACTCTTTGTAGAAAATAAATTTGAGTATGAAACTTGTGCCATTAGCTAGAGTTAGGAGAAAGTTTCATGTAGGCACTGAAAACACCTCGATCAGATGTCAGAAGAAGATTTAGGACTCATTTGAATTTCGCTCCTTGTGCTGTCAAATTGACAACTGATTACTGTTACATTCGTGCAATACGCCGCAGCATATGGCATAGAGGCGAGTGAGCTGTGGTGCACTAATACTTAGCCATGGCACATGTCACATTTTTTTTTGCATAATTTTATTGTTCAAGTTTTGAAACTCAATGCTGTGGGTCCTCTATGGTTTTTGAGATTCCACATTATTTTGAAACGCTAATTTAAGCAAAATAAGAGTGTTTGGGAGATTTTTTTATGTTATTAATCTTGGGATCCCATTGTAAATGTTTTGTGAATTATTTCTCCCAATTGTGAATTATGAAAACTTAGTAATCTTTTATGGGCTTAGTTCCTTAATTACCTTGATTTTAGTATTAATGATATTTAGATTTGGAGAACATTACATGTAAAATCAATAATAAAGTAAAGACTAAAAAGCTTTCAAGATTGCGATCATTAGTATGAGTTGATCCATAATCCTATTTATTTATGGACAACAACTAGGCTTATGCAATAGAATTTCCCTGTGAGGGAGTCTTTTGTCCTTAAATTTGTTTAGTTTTGTTTTAGCAAAGACATGATTATGGAGAATGCCTTATATGATTAGTTTTAGGATTAGGGGTTTTTAATGTATATTTCTCTAATACTTTTTGTAATGTTTCGCCTTAGTTCTTTTTATTTTTGAATCGTTGGCTTCTGCATAAAACGAAAGATATTTTGATATTTTAAAGTTTTGAAATGGTTGAATTTTATATTTTTTTCATAATTTTTCAAAATAAAATGGTGTAATTGTGATATTGTAAAAAAAAAATATAAAACTTGCTTGTTTTGAGACTTTAAAATATCAAAATGTCTTTTATTTTATGCAAAAACTAAATTTAAAGAAAAAAACCAAAATAAAACTAAGAAATTGGGATATTATAAGGGAAAATGGCAATTAAAGACCCTCTAAGAATGTTAATCCCAATTAAAGACCATAACATTTTGAAATTTTAGTTAAGAACTATGATCCTTAATTGGGATAAAAAAATATAGTTTGTGAGGTGAGATTCACTAACGTCACTTGGAGATTCACTAACCTAACTTGAGAAAATTCTAACGTATATTGTAAAAACATGAAACCTCACTTGGGATCGATTATTTAATAAAAAGCGCCACTTAAAAATTTACTAACTCGATTTGAAAAAATTTCTAACATATATTGTGAAAATATGAAACCTCATTTGAGAATCAATTGTTTAATAAAAAGCACCACTTAGGAATTCACTAACCAGACTTGAAAAATTTTTTAATGTATATTGTGAAAAAATGAAACCCTACTTGAGAATCGATTGATTAACAAAAAGTTACTAGTCCTTAATTGGAATTCAAAATATTATAATTCTTGATTGGAATTAATATTCTTAAAAGATCTGTAATTGTTATTTTTTATTATAAAGAGCACTAGATAACGGCATTATAAACCTTTATCCCTATTTCAGTTTCACGTGTATAACTAGCCTCTTTTTTTTTTTAACAAAAAGACACGGACAAGACCATGCTAGGGTTACAAAAGTCAAGACACATCAGAGTCCAAGATGTTCTTACATCTCATAGGCGAAACATTATAAATAGGGAGGTCGTAGTTTTCATGTGAAGTTTCCGTGCAAACAATCAGCATATTTATTTGCCTCTTTGAAGATGTGATCAAAAGTAACCATCCAATTTCTCATAGTAAGCTCCCTTATTTTCTTGATGGTTGTCGTTAGAGGATTGCTTTCGGAGAAATTATGTTGAATAAGAGAGAGGGCTTCATAGAGTCAGTGTATATATTAATCTTGGTAAGATTAGCATTCCAACCAATCTGAAGGCCTTCTAAAATGCTCGAAAATTCAGCTGCAGTATAGGGTTGATAGCCAAGAAATTTTGAGAAATCGATAATCCAATTTTCTTTTTCATCGGAGATGACTCCACCATAAGTTTCAGCACCAAGAGAGTTAACTGAGTCATCTACATCGAGCCTAACCCATCCTACCTTTGAAGGACGCCATTTAGACTCGGATCTGAGTATGTTGTTATTCAAAATATCCATTCTTGATAAAAGCCACATGTCATTTATGATTTATTAGGTATAAGAGAAGGCAGTATCTTTATCTTGATTGTCATTTTCAAAATACATTCTCTTGCATCTTGCTTTCCATATGATCTAACAGACATGAGTAAAGAGCTTTTGCTAATTAATTTTTCTTGTGCTGGTATTCCTTGCTTCATTTCTTGCATTCTAAGATCCAGTCTTGCACATTAAGAGAGAAAAAATTATTTAGCTTGGAAGGATTGACTAGCTTTAGCCAAACCTCTCATACTTCCTTACAATCTCATAAGATATGAATTGAAGAGTCAGGAGAGTTACAACCGAAGATGCATTTTCGTTGTATTGGGTTCTTTCCTTCATCGGTTGTAAAATTACTCTGTAGGCGATCCCAAGCTGCTTTTTATAGGAAACACTTGATTTTTTGATATATAGGCCACTTCCAGATTTTAGACCAAATATCAGAATTATTTTGTTCATTTTGGGATTCCATCTTTTTGTAAGTAGATTTTATAGAGAAATTTCCATCAGAGGAAGGTCTCCAACAAAAGGCATCGTTAGTCCCATAAGGGTTAGGAGGTTGTATAAGAGCAATTTGTTTAATCACATCAGGGTGAAGATGATGATTAAGAAGGTTGAAATTCCATCTTCTTGCGGCCATGCATAAATTAGAGATTTTAGTGTGCAGAATAGATTCAGCACTAGGGAGTGCATATTTAACAAGAGGTTCAGGAAGAGGAGCCTATTTTTCATACCAAAAGGATATTCCGTTACCCTTACCTACTTTCCATCCAACCTAAGGCATGCAATTTTTCCAAATTTTGCAAATATTACTCCATGTGTAAGAAGAAGAACTTGGTTTATAGACCATTAGAATAGCCATTTTGCTGCATTTGTATTTATCCTGCAGAATCTGAACCTAGAGACATTTAGATTGAGTGATGAGACCCCAGCATAATTTCATGATGTAAGCAATATTTTGGTTCTTGAGATTTTTGAGTCCAATGTCCTCCTTCATAACTCAAGTTTACAATTAATTTCTTCTCTTATCTTTGCTATGAGATCTATATCATCCGCGAAGAGCATACATTTGAAAATTTTCCCTTGAATATGTTCTGTCAAAACATTTAAGACTAAGTTAAATAGATAAGAACTCAAAGATGATCCTTAATGTAGTTTAATCTTTATAGGAAACTCTTTTATTTGACCACTAGATGTTCTTATACTAATTTTTACCCCTTCATACATATCTTGTATAACTTTAATATAAGCAATTCATACTCCTTTCTTTTCCAAGGCCTTTCAAAGCACTTCTCTTGATATACAGTCATAACCTTTTTTCAAATCAATAAAAATCATGTATAAATCTTTATCTTTACAATGATACTTTTTCATTAATCCCCATAGTAGATAAATTACCTCTATAGTCAATCTATTTGGCCTAAAACTGAACTGATTCTCAAAAATACTTATCTCCAATCTCAACCTATGCTCAATTACTTTCTCCCACAATTTCATTGTGTGGCTCATGAATTTCATCTGTCTATAATTAGTACAATTATGAATATCACCTTTATTTTTATAAATAGGAATTAATGTACTTTTCCTTTTATCGTCAGGCATTTTCTTGGACTATAAAATCACATTAAATAATTTAGTTAACCATCTCACTCCTTCTTCACCTAAACATTTCCACACTTCAATAGATATACAATTAGGTCCATTAGCCTTACCATTTGCCATTTTCTTAAGAGCTTTCTTTACCTCTTTATCACGTATTATTCGATAGAATGATAAATTTTATTCTCCTTCACGAGTTACTAAATCTTTCAAGTTACTTAACGAATCCTCTCCATCATTGAAAAGTTTGAAAAAGTAAGTCTTCCATTTGTTTTTAATTTCATCATCTATAACTAAAATTCTTTCATCTTCATCATTTATACACCTTATTTGTTCTAGATCTTTTGATTTTCTTTCCCTACTCTTAGCAATCTTATAAATGTTTCATTCTCTTTCTTTGTCTCAAGGCTCTTATAAAATTCTTCAAAAGCTTTAGAACGAGCTTCATTCACAGCTTTCTTAGTTTCCTTCTTAGCCATATGGTACCATTCTCAATTTTTCTCATTGTTATACAAATGTATGGCTTTAAAACAGTTCTTCTTATGTTTGATTTTGTCTTGTACGCTATTATTCCACCACCAAGACTCTTTATCTTTCGGATCAAAACCTTTTGATTCTCCCAAAACTACTTTTGCAACCTCTCTTATCTTTTTAGCCATATCCTCCTATGAGATGTTAGCACTTCCTTAAGATTCTCAAATTTCTTTGTTCAAAAGATTCCACTTGAAAATATCTTGCTTCTTACCTTTTAATTACCATCACTTAATCCTTGGTACTACTACTTATCGACATTTTTGAGTTTTACTCATAATACACATATCAAGGATAAGGATCCTATGTTGTGTTGTTACAGCATCCCTGGAAATCACTTTGCAATTTTTATAGAGTCTTCTATTCGTGTTCCTAACTAAAAGAAAATCAATCTGTGACCTTAAGGCTCTACTTTTGTAAGTGATGAAATGCTCATCTCTCTTTTTAAAACAAGTGTTGGCAATTTTAAAATCATACGCCAATGAGAAATCAAGAAGAGTTTGTCCTTCATTGTTTAGCTCTCCAAAACTAAAACCACCATGCACCTTCGCATACTGACCAGCCTCCCTCCTGACATGCCTATTAAAGTCTCCTCTAATAAAAATCTTTTCACTCTATGGTATGTGTTGAATCAACCCCTCCAAGTCCTTCTAAAATAATTTTTTAAGACTGGCTTCTATCCCGACTTGAGGCGCATAAGCACTAGCAATATTAATAGTCTCACATCCAACTATCATTTTTAAGAAAATAATTCTGTCTCCAATTCCACTAACTTCTACAATGTTCTTCTTTCACTCCTTATCAATAATGATGCTTACTCCATTGCGTGTGCTTAGTTTTCCTATATACAAAAGCTTGAAACCTTGAATATCCTTAGCTTTTTTCTCCACGCCATTTTGTTTCTTGCAAGCATAGGATTTTGATTTTTCTTTGAATCATAACCCCTACAACCTTTACAGATTTACAATTCAATGTCCCAACATTTCAAGCACCAAATCTAATCTTGCTCTTATGGACTAACTTCTTTAACCACGCACGTCTAGAATGATGCGATAACCCTTGCTCATTTAACACTATATCTGGGCGCCGATGTAATAGCTCTAACTCACTCATCATTGTACTTAAGCCATACAGTGTGTTACTTACGGGCAACGACCTAGCATTAACATTATAACGTTTATTGTCCATATTCATGATACATTCAACAAAGTTTTATGTTGGCTATTGATGGCCTAACATAACCCTACTTCTTTATTCGGGCTTGAGACCAGCTATAAATATAAGCGAAATTAAAACAACAGTTATGAAAATAGATGTTTGAGGTGGCCATATATTTTTGTAATTTATAAATGTTAAATTTATAAAAATATATATGTAAATAATTAAATAAGATATACTCCTCCAGTTTAGTAATATAAACTATTTTTTGGAATACTATGTTTAAAAATATAAAGTATTTTGAATTTTTTAAAATATAATTAATAAGGTTTTATATTCGAACCCTTTGTCAACAATATTTTAAGTTGAATCAAATGATTTGCAGTTTTTATATGAAATATTTTAAATGAATTGCATTAAGTTCACATGTTGGCAAGCCCATCTGGATTAGAGTCCTTGTAAAAGTATTTTCTCTTTTTTCTTTTGACTGATTGTAAAAGTATTTTCAAATTCCCCATAATTAAATCCTTACACACTGTGAACACTGTATTTTGTTCAGGCATTTTTTTAATTTAATAATAAGTAATCAAAAAATATAAAAAATACAAAAATAAAATTTAATCCTTTTTTAAGATTATATTTTCAAAAAAAAATCTTGCTTAAATTTTTTTAAAAAAATCTCTCTCAAATTATCCTAACCATTCAAAGATATTGGGAATCAATTTTTTGAGACTCAACTATTTTTAAATTTCTCTCTTTAAATCTTTTTGTTTTCCATTTGAATATATATATATATATATATATTTAAAATTAGATTTTTCTTTCTCTCCCTTAATCTAATTAATAAAAAAAGCATTAAAAAATGGTTAAAGTAATGCAGGACATACACGTATGAAGAAGGCAAAAGAGAAAAGAAGACACAGAACACACGCACCCTTAGAAAGCAGAAAGCAAATGGAGCCATGCATAGAACGCATGCATGAAGAGAAGATACGGAGGAAAACAGACAACAGAGCAGAAAAAAAACCAGATGCGGAGAGAACAGACTCGGACCAAATGCAGAAGCAAAAAGCAGAAAGAAAATAGAAACAAAAGAAACAGAGACGTGCACGGTAGAAGAGAAAAGTAAAAGAACACGTACACATGCTTTTAGCCAGCAGAAGAAAAGAGATAGAACCGAGACATATGCATGCATGCAGCAGACAAAAACACGTGAAAAGCTTCACTTTACAAAGAAGAGATGCACGTTATAGACTACAGAAAAAGAAAAAACAGAGCAGAGGGAGTGAGTCCGAGAGAGCATAAAAGAGAACAAAAAAACAAACAAGAAAGAACTAAGGGAAGAGAGGAAAAACTGGAAGAGAAGAAAAAAAATAGTAAAGGAAGAAGAGAGAGTCCGAGAGAGGATGGAGAATGAGAAAGAGATGGAGAGAGAGAGATGAGAAGGAAATGGAAAAACAGAGCACGAAGAAAAACATAGAAGAGAGGACGAAAAACCAAGAGGAAGAGAGCCAAAGACGCAGGAAGGAGAAGAGGCTGAGAGAAAGAGCAAGAAAAGAATATAAAGAGAGAGCTAGAAGCGATAAACGGAGCGAGTCTGAGAGAGGAGGAAAAGGAAAGGGCACCAAGACGTTATGGCAGACGCAGAAAACCAGAGGAAGAAGAAAAAACTGGAAGAAAGGAGAGAACACAGA